TACTAGGCTCTATAATTTTGCGCGGAACTTTCGACGAATATCTTAACTTTGTTACAACGCACAAACCTTAAACTTGGGAACTGTCTTCTTTATTTCAGTATTGTCTATAATATCACAAATTCGTGACTTTATCCACTGAATGGTGTTTGATTTTATTTTTTCGTGACAATGAACACACTCTACACCAACTTTTCAAAAACAAACACAAAAGGAAAGGATGGTGCTGGTAGTCTCCCGCGCAGACTTAATTAATGTTCGTCACGAAATATTTCCTAATTTTACGTGACGAGCCATAAGAACGTCTGAGTAGTAGGCCGTAGTAATACATGCAATCAAGGATAAAATTCCATGGGACACTGATGTAATGTAACGAATTATCTGTGTTTTACAACTGAAGCTTAAGAAAGCACTTTCTTTTAGAATTGCGTTGCTGTTCGCCCTCTCCAGCCAATACCATGTTGGAACTCGGGAGAATTTTCAACATTGTATCTGGGTTGGGGGTAGAGGTTAGGCAGGTGAAGTTGTATTCGTGTCTGGCGCGTGTGAAAGTGCGAAAAGTTCAAATTTATCCGAAGACTTCTGGCTGCTTACGCACCAAAATTCAAAAACGTATAACAGTTTATAGACACCTTGCCAAATCGTTGTACAGTTCTTTCTAGAGTCAAATCTCAGACACTCCGAGAGCAGTGGATGAGATGAATGCGCGCAAAAAGAAATACATTTGCTAAAGCTGCCCCTTAAATCTGTTTAGAGATCTTGGTGGGTTCCAAACACTCATCATTCTTGCTCGGGTCAAAACAACACCATCCTCCTACAGGACTCCGGGGCACACGTCGCGCCTTCCAAACTGTTGGACATTTTCCTGCTGTATCCGTCACGTTGCAACGACTCTGTTCTGCACAGTACGTGTTCATGAGTTCTTGTTCTGTCGGAAAGAGAGGATATCGGTTATAACAGCGTGTACGAGGTACGCTCGATAAATCCTAGGAAACGATCTAGACTGTGGAATGAAATGTTGGAATATCAGTCATCAGTGATATTTTGGCCTATTTCTTGAATTTATCAGTTAAAATTTCAGTACATTTCCTAGTTATCAGAATATTTTGCAGATCTCGGATCTCAGCTACTTCATGCAATGAAAAACAACAACAACAACATATCATTTCTCAACTGACAACCACAATTGTAAGCAATTCTCGGGTATCAGTTCAAACCCAGCTAGTCCATCATGTGAGCGCTCAAAGTTTATTATTTAACGGTTAGTTTAGATCTCAAAATAAGGGAATTAAATAAGACGACAGCAACAAAAACAGCAAACGTCAACAAGAGACAGAAATCTCACTATTCAAGACTGAAATTCGATAAATAGGGACAAAAACATACCGTTTTCTCTCATGTGGCAAAATTTAGCCGATGATATTAAAACCTATAAAGAGAAAAAATACTGTTATATTTAAACAGAGCATATTACTTTCCTCAATTCCGCTGATTGTTTCGATAAACAACCGTGAAAAAGCGAGAAATGACGTCATCGATATCTTTACAAGTCAGTGACTGAGGGTATGGAAAGTACGCCGAACAGGTCCCGGATGCAGTTTCGTCACTACACCTGGTAACTTGATAGCCATATTGAATATGGCTTCAACTGACGAGGTCTTTTGGCGAAACTAGTGTTGTATGTAAATGTATTGAAAGTAAATGCTAATGAGGTTTTACCTTATCAATATGCTGCATTTCACATTAAAGGCAACATAGGATAAGGAAAAGGGACAGAGGAAAGAAAAAGATGTTCCAAAATGGGCTACATTTTGATACATATATTTGCGGCGGGACCCGAGTTCTACAGTATTTTAGCAAGCCCTGGGGGCCAATAATAGCCCTTTTCACGGTTACCTTTGCTCATTTGCATTACAACAAAATTTAGCATGTATATGCGGCAATTTCGGGCTATTTTGTAGTTTGAACCCGAAATTGCCTCGCATCCACGTTGGATTACATTGTAACGCAAAGAAGGAAAATTAACCGGGAAAAGGGCTATTGAGCTGATTTATTATACAACAATTCTCTTTCCCGAAATCTTGTCTTTGGGCCGTTTTTGTTGCCCTACTGCGGTCAAAACGAATAGAAAGACCACAGAAAAAGTATTAAACGGGTCTTTTAGAATGCAAATATAATAGCTATTTGTACTTGTTTCCCGCATTATTTGCATGTTCGGCATGGAGTGGAGTTGGACAATTAAATGGGATTAAAACTGTCAGTCCAAACAACACGCTGCTGTTGTTTTGACTTCAGCTTTCTTTAGCATCTTAACTTACCTCTTCAAGTTCTTGAGATGTGACTTTGAAGTGAATCCATCCTGTGTTTTTACCAGTTAGATCGAGCATCGTACCTTCAGAGTTTACTCGTCGGTTAATAGCACAAATCCAAGACTTCCTTGTTCCTTTCTCCGACTGCGTTTGTTTCATATCAAAAGAACCACACTTTGAATTTCGCAAGCAGATGTCNAAAATACGTGATAGCACTGGTCCCTCCACATGGTACAAAAAAAACACTTTTGGGGGTCTTGGCCCATGGACTACATGGGTCACGGATAACCTTCAGGTCACGGATCTGAAAGAAAAATTTCCTAAATTCACGTTTCATGGAAAATAAAATCAGATAATCACGCATCATGAGAATACCCCTGTACGACCCTCTATCATGGACTGATACGGAAATAATGGAACATTTGTGGGAAAAAATTAACGGGACATTTGTGGGAATCCTAACCCTTACTAACCCTAACCCTAAGAACTAACACATGTGGCCTGTGTGTGAACCATATTCCCCATCAGAAATTCATTTCATGGGAGCAGTACCCTGAAGTGAGATGTCAACTCTAAATCAGATGGAGGTGTTGCGTAAACCCTTCAAGGCGATTTGCACTACAACTACCAGAATCCTTCACTTTTTCTGTTTGTTATGCTAATTAGGCCAATTGTTATTTTAAAGCCAAAATTTTCTGGGGGAGGATACCCCCGCTCCCTGTATGGGGGACCACCACAGCTGCGTCCTCACAACTCTCCTGTATGGTTTGGAATTTTGGCGCATAACGGAGAAGGATTTATCAAAACTCTCCACATTTCAATCACACCAAGAGATTTCGGCGTATCCTACGCATCTTATGGCCTAATGTCATCTCAAATAAGGATCTAGCTCTTTGAACCGTGTGGAACTGAACCAATGGCTACCATCCTGACGAGGAGACGCTGGAGGTACATTGGCCATGTCACCAGTCAAGCAGCTTCCATTGCGAAAATTGCTTTACATTGGACGCCAGAACGGAAACGCAAGAGGGACGGCCCCCCACCCCAAGATCACGTAGCGACGGAGAGTGGAGAAAGAGGCATCAAGCTTATCGCAAGGGACCGGCAGATGTAGAGAGTGCATGTTGCTGCCCTACATGCCACCTAGGCGTAAGGGGAATGAGTGAGTGAGTGAGTTAGAAGAAAATAGTCAATATTTTTGCATTTTAGTTTGCGACTTTTTCACTACAAAACATTACCGGTCTAGATGCCAGTCTAGATGGGAAAATCGAGACCGCTTCCAACATCGATTTCAGCCAATCAAATTCGTGAATTCCCCGAGTCCTTGTGAGATTAAACAGCCATATAATAATAGACCATATTAAATATTTTACCTCAAGGGCCCAGCCTCATTCTTTGACTCACTGAATTAATTTTCTGCATTTCTAGGATCTGTGCAAGAGTTGAACTCCTGTATAGAAGGGTTTCTCATTGCTTATCTTTAATGGAGTTTGAGATCAGTCAACTTCAAAATTGGAAGACAGAAGATATAAACAGAAATCTCACTAAAAAGTTACAAAACAGAAATCATTTTTTGTGCAAATCCTGGTTGAATCAGGCTCTGGGTAATCATGGCACTTTAACCACCAGCAACCTGCAACTGACTAGCATCCCATCCAAGAGAATAAAAATACTCCTAGTCACTCGTCATTTACCAACTGGTGTTCAGGGAAGATAGCTGGTGATTGCCAATGCTCTAGCCTGCGAACAGGCTCCCGGTAAACCCGAACGAAGCGAGGGGGTTCCCCTGTCCCCACCCCGATCGCTTCGCTCTCCGAATTCTTCTGTTTCGCGCTCGCCGAAATTTTTTCCGTCCTCGCCGGGAGCCTGTTCGCAGGCTACCAATGCTCTTTCATCAGAAGTGCCCAGGGTTTTTAGTCCCCTGGCCTAGCTCTCTAGTCCCATGCATGAACCTCATTATTGCAAAGGTGCTAAAAAGACATCCCCTCAAGTTTTGGTCATGTTTGAATGTGGTACAAAAAAATGGCTGAATTTTTGCTGTGGCTATGGCGTTCAATGTTTTAGAGAATGTCATTCTCACATGTCTTTTTCTGTGGGTCTGTGTTTCATTTTTGAGAAGTGATATATGCTAAAAAAAAGTTTGAATTTGAATAAATGTTCATTTCCCATCCTGTGAAACCTACAGCAGCTTTTTGGCCGGTTCATTTTGTCTCATGATGTATTGGCTTAGCAGCATGAAACAACAGGCAAAAAACTCTACCTCCTCACACAAGCTACATAAACATACCATGATAGAATACCATTCCACAAAAAAAATGCAAGACCAACAGCAATATTTTAATGCTCGAAATGTTGAGAAACCAAAACCAAAGATACATTTTACATCATAGTTGGTAGCATGTGGTTGCATCCCAAGGTCAATTATTTTCAAACTTTGCCAGTCTATAACTTGTCTGGCAAATGTCCATGTGTTGCGTCATATGCTATGTTATGTTAGACTATCATCACAAACTAGATACTTTCTATAAAGTAACGATCAATAAATAACTTAATCTACTTGAGATAACTAACAGATATAAGGAAACTGGCAAGTTATACTGAGAGGATATGTTTAGTTTGGCATCTTTCATTTAGTACTACATGTACAATATCCTTGATAGAAAGGAAACCTTTGAAGAATAATAAATAAATATTTACATCAATATATTATGTACAAAATTATGCTGAATAGGTTATGACAAAAGCAAGCAGTTTGAGGTTATCATGAACAGGAAATCGTCAAAAATTAGAGCAAGCTTTTTTGTTTTAGCCATATTTGGTTTCTACCCACTGTTTTCTTAGTGTTGTTTGTCAGCATTCTGATCTATGAGTGACTGGTAAGGATATAACAGAAATGCTGTCTTTGAATCTACTCATAATACCTGCTTAGCATTGTTAGTATTGCTTTTGATTTTAACTCTTTCAATTGCTTTCTTTCACAATGCACTTTAAAATGCTAAACATGATGAATAATGCACCAGAGTTGCAAATGATAAGCATTTTAACAATTTCATTGGCATGACATGTAGGTGTTGTGAGACTCCCTAGAGGGTTGGCCTGTCACAATTTGAAGACATTCATGTTTGAAATTCAAGTAAATGCCTGATTTAGATTTACAGGGTTTACATAATGGTATCCCTTCTAATTTAAAGGTCAATCAATCTGACAGATACTTCAAACACTTTGCCTGGAAAGGTTGATGAAGCTGGGACTTTGGGTATCCTTCATATCGTAGACATCCAACCAGAATGCAGTGCGAGAAAAACTAGAATAATATTATTATGACTCTACTCGAGGTTTGAAAAAAGTGCTGTTCTGTCGTTTAGCACTTGTGAGTAGATTTTCTTACCAGGCAAGTTACTTTTCATTCTCACTTGCCCGATGGGTAAGGGCCCTGGCAGGTCTTCTGCCAACTAAGAGAAAAAAAATAGACTTAGACTTGCCCAGGGCAAGAAAAATTAGAGAGCTGATTGTCCGAAGGGCAAGCTGGAATTGGGTTTTTTTAGCCTTGTAAATTATTCCTGCCCAGGTATAGACACAAGATCATGCACAGTAACTCCTCAGCAGGGTCAGAATCAAAATTAATTTAACAATAATCACAACATATGCATTTTGTATTCAATGCTGAGTGAAGAGCTCTTGTATACAGTTTGGAGAGGGTCTGCAGCTGTCTTGGAACAATTTGTTGCTTGGCTTGGCAGAGTTACTCAAAGTAATCCAAGAAGTCGAACCACAACAGCAATGCCACTAAACAGCATCCTCCTTCCCCTGAAAATCAAAATATTCTTCCAAAGAACAAACTCCAACTTGTACTGTTATTTGTTATTAGAGTTTGACTGTAAAAACTTGCCTGGGAAAGGACTTTTCAAAAGTGTACAGGCTGGATTGAAAAAGACTTGAAACTGTAAAACTGATGTTTGTGATTACAGAAGGCTGAACTCTGAACAGACAACTAAGGTCTCACTTCCAATATCCTGGACCAAAATAAGATGTGCTTTGATGAACACAATTGAGCAATTAAAATGTGGCTTACTGAGAATGTATAATCATTCTTTGACAGAAATGAAGCAGGTAGCCTTCCATTAAAATAGACTTTCACTTTGATTTCATAGCCTTCCTCTCATTCATTGGTTAAATCACAAAATACATTGACTATTTCCATGGTGGATATACACCAACATGTAAAATCAATTAATAAACAGAGGGAACAGTTGATCCATCATTCCATCGATGTTAACACACCCTTTTCGTCAACAAACTTCAGCTTACATTTGCCATCTGGTGACACTTTGTCATTGTTGTTACTAAAAGGATTGCTGCAATTGACACAGGGACAAAGTTCACATGAACCTCCATCACTGAAGCATGGACAACGCGTGCTGATGCATCTGGGGCTTTGAAGCTTGGACGATGTCCCACAAGAACACCTCTTCAACTTACTTTTCTTTTTATGCTTTCCTGGCGGAGTTACAACAACTACTTCTTTTGGCTGAAGGTCTGGTTTAACGTGAATTTCAGGCTCGACATTATCAAAAATCTGAATCTCTTCAGTGTCATTTCCATCTTTTGTAACTTCATGAGAGCAAACTCCAGTATTGTTTTTGATTTCAGAACTAAAAGACAGGCTAGTTGCACTTGTACTTATCTTTACAGGGGTCTTCTTCTTTTTGCCATAGTTATAATAACTTCCCTTGAATGGCTTTTTCTTTTTTTTCTTCTCCTTTTGACTTTGGGTACCTGTTGGTGAAGCCAAGAGTTTTGCAACTTTTTTGGGAGGCAGGAGTTTCATTTCCGGCGGAAGTATTGTTGCTGGGACACGTGACTCCGCCGCCATGTTCAAATCACCGCCAGAGGAATTTTTGGAATTTAATTCCGAGTTGTTTACCGGTACCTGCCCTTGTCGGTTACTTGGAAAGTCTGCAAGTGAGATCGGGCTTGTAACGGCCTCTTGAATGATCGCCAAAGTCTTGTTGTACTCGCCGTTTTGTGTCGACAGCCTCTGAACGCTGGCCGCTTTTTGGGCGATGCATTCGCAAAGCTTTTGATAACAAGCCAGCACAATTCGAGCTTGTTTATCCTCCGTAAGCTTTTCCAAGTTTGTGCACCATCGACATCCGGGTATTAAGGCCCGCTTCCTTCGAAGGCACCCTTTGCACACGTGGTGTTCACAGCTGTGAGATCCGTACGGGTCGATCAACAAACCACGGCAAACTCGACAAGAAAGGGCTTGGCGAAGCTTTGGAAGCAATTGGAACAGTTGATCCCAAACAGCTTGATTGTCGGTTTCAAGCGACAACATGCATTTGCACGCTTCGACATAGAGCGTTGTGGCGTTCATTCCGAAGTTTTTAACGCGTCTTTTTGCTGTTGGAACTATTAAAACGTAGTAAATCGTATTAAAATTGCTAATTTGTAAATTCGCAGTGCGACCGTGTTTGGTGTTGTTTTCTATGAGCCCTCGTTCTTTTGATCAGTGATAACTGCTTCATTTGAGCATGCGTGGAAATGTGTTTTAGTGCACGTGCAACCCTGGAAACTATTTTTCCGTGGGATGGGAGGCTTGCTATATCTTACGGTTTGTAATTTCTTTCCTTATTTTTTCAGAAAATTGTCAAACAACTTCTCTTTACTGAAAAAGTTCCACCAGAGATTAGGAAATAATTTTGAAAGGAGAGTTCTTTCTTCAAGGGAAAAAATATGGAATCTTTTTCAATTTAAGTTATACTTACCCTACCCCTGGCTCGTCAAACACTAGAACGGATTCTTAGGAAAATGGCGATGTCCACCGTCTGCAGGACAGGAGGACTACACAAGTGGATCTTCCCCTTTTCTGATAGATTTATTGCCAAGACTCGTGGTTCAAATGGAGTACCTTTCACGAAAAATGTTCTGATAATAAGAGCATGTTCTGGGAGCGTTTTGCAGAGAATCCAGAAGAAACAAGAGGAAGCTATTGTTGGCGGCGGACAGAAAAGAATCGACACCCAGCACCGCAAAGTAAGCTGACCTTCCAGCATTTCTGTTTTTATAGTTTTTTTAACGAACAGTTGTGAGGTTCAAGCTAAAAATCTGAAAAATAATGACGTCTTAAATTTATTTTGGTTACTGAAGAGCTTCCTTCAACAGACCCTGTAAATTAATCGTCCTCTTGGTTTAAATAAAACCTGAGCTTGTAGCCTCCCCTCCTAACTGGAAACGTAGCATTTTGTCAAATTCTTTTAGAGAACACCTTTTAACGTGGTAAAATGACGGATGTCATTTTTTGTTTTTCCAAGAAGCTATCATGGCCTCTCTTAGGAGGGGTGCAAAAAATAAATGTACCCACCCCACCTATAGTGACCACCTCCACCCTGTCAGCAGAGATACCAGCATAAAAAATTGAAATTCAGGAGATAGCTAATTTTGCCTTCTTAACCCTAGAAAAAATTAAAATTAGAGCTTTGCCGATTCAACCACAAAAATGCATCACACACTCTAGGCATTCATGGCATGCAAGTCTTCAGGGATGTAGCACTGTAAATCAACTGAAATCAGTGGAATGCACCTAGCATTTTAGAAAATAAAAAGTAACTACACATGAAAGTTCTATTAGCCCTCTGTCCTTCCACACCCTGCTTCACTGCTTCCCTAAAGGTTGTTAATAAAATAATACTTTCTCTTGTACACCACCCCTCTGCAACTAAATTTCGTTTATATGTATCTATGGGTGAACTCCCCTTTCTAGTAATCCCCATTTCCCCTTTTTGGCTGTTGAAAAGTTAGAATCTGTATTTGGAGTTATCAGAGAATAGTTCTTTATCAACAGTGTTTACTAAGTCATTTAAACATGTTTGTTTGTTTTTACAGGGTAAATTGACTGCAAGGGAAAGAATCAAGCTATTGTGTGACCCAGAATCATTTGTTGAATATGATATGTTTATGGAACACAACTGCACTGAGTTTGGAATGGAAAATCAAAAGGTGTCATTTTTAATCTATTTTTTTAATTTTTAATTTAACAATAATAACATACAACTTTCAAGTCATATAGTTATATTTCTTGACAAGATTTCAGGTTTCTAAGGAAAGTAATTTTCACTGGTTGAAAATTGTGCATTTGCATTTGCCACATGTGTTCAACTACTCCTATGCAGTTTAACTTGGTCACAGGGTTTCATTGAGGGCTGTGCACCGGGCAAGTTGACTGCTTGTGAGGACGATTTTACCCCCTGGATTGACCATCAAGAGGAAAGTTTTCCTTGTAATGAAGTTCAGATCAAAATAGTTTGCTCACGTGACTGAAAACCAGTTGCCTTCCTGCTGAACAGATTAATGGTATCCCTTGGCTGAACTATTCACAAACTTAGTACCCCACCCATGCGGCCTCACCTACTACATCCCTTGCTACATGAACTTTAGACCACTTGAACCTGAACACTGGCATAATTGGTATTGTTGTCTTAGTTCACTGGTGACAGTGTGGTGACTGGTCAGGGGACGATCAATGGAAGAGTCTGTTTCCTTTTCAGCCAGGTGAGTTTATCAACAGTGGACATTGTACCCAAGCATGTAACATGCAAAATTGTCAGGTGGCTTAATGACCTGATCATGACAAGAATGATAAAAGAAGCAAGCATTTGTGCTACAATCGTGGACAAAAGTCCTTGGGACACTTATTTAATTTGACGAATTGTATTGTGTTTTACTGCTGAAGTTTGAAAAAAGTGCTGCTTTTCTTTTAAATATGCATCACTGTTCCCCCTCCCCACCCCATACAGTGTTGAAGGTCAGAAGAAATTGCAGGTAGTAGTTTTCAACATTGAATTGGGGGTGGGGGGCTAGGTTAGGAAGGCAAAGTTGTATTTTTATCTGGCGTGTGCGCAAAAGAGCCAAAAGTGCAAATTTGTCCCACGACTTTTGTCCTTGATTGTAGGTACATACATTAGTAAGTAGTTCTAAAACATAATATAAATTAAATTGTCTAGCTGTTTATACAAATGCTGACAGACAGGTAGACATATATCTCATATACCTCTCCTCTCATTTTCAAACTAAGGTGTACATTCAGCATCTGGTAGCATGCTATAAACTATCAGGAAATTTTTGTTGTTGTTGTTCTTCATTTCTTGTCTCTGTCACTACACTTGTATTACATATAAGAAGTTCACATTAGTTTACAAAGTACTTAATGTGAGCAATTTTCACACCTGTATAATTGTGTATGCTTCCTACGCTTTTGCGAAAATAAAGCCTGAAAAAAATTAAGGCTTGACTCAATAGCTCAGTTGCATTGGTAGGATACTGCTCTGGAGAGGTCATGTGTATTTGGATATTGTTGAAGACTGTTTCGTTTTTAGGTTTTAAGCTGCATTACATAATTGCAAAGATCTTTCATGTCTGTAGATTTGTATCCCACATTAAATTATATTTAATACATGGTATATGATGAACACATATTGGCTTGTTTGGATCTCAGGATTTCACAGTTTTTGGAGGTAGCTTGTCCAGTGCTCATGCAAGAAAAATCTGCAAGGTAGGATTGCCTTGATTACAAGCATTCAGAAAAATTTGTGACATTGTTGCCACATCCTTCATGACTAGTGTTGCTTCTAAATAGCTTTAAAACAATCAATATTAATTATCTTTCTTTGGAGTGTCCACATCTTTAAATGTGTTTTTACCAATTGACTTTCAAGTAAGAACCACCAAGTTTTTAGTACATAATTTGCATTGTACACTGTGAGACTAAAATGTCTTGCCCAAGAATGGAATGCTTCCCCCCCAGTACATCTCTATCTGGATATTAGGTTACAGTGCACATTCCTCTCACAGCTAAGGAGTAACATCTCATGTCCACTCTAATCACAGGTAATGGACAAGGCTATGCTAGTTGGTGCTCCTGTTATTGGTTTGAATGACTCTGGTGGTGCTCGTATCCAGGAAGGAGTAGAGTCACTTGCAGGCTATGCTGATATTTTCCAGCGTAATGTCATGGCATCAGGAGTTATTCCTCAGATCTCGCTGATTATGGGACCATGTGCTGGAGGCGCTGTCTACTCTCCTGCTATTACCGACTTCACCTTTATGGTCAAGGTGTGCATAATGATAATAAACCAAGAAACAGCTGAACCTCCCAAAAACAATCACACAAATATTCAAAAATTTAGGGTGGCTCTCTTCGTCATGTAATTTTTTAGAACTCTGCCAAAATTTGTGTCTTATCGTGCTAATCAAAATTCAAGAATAAAAAAATGGGGTCACTAAGTTTGTTTTTGAATTACTAGTAGTTAAAGCTCCAATTAGGCAGCTTTTAGCAGGTCATTTTGTTGCTATGGTGACCTATTGTGTCAATAAAATGATAGCAACATGTTCACCAGTGAATGGGTAGTTTTTTGATACCAAGATTGTAGCATCAAAATCTTGGAAAGTGCTAGAAAGTGTTGCCAGCCACCTTAATAACTAGTGTGCATTACTAAGTTGTGATGTGAATGGGAAGTTTGGAGAACACCCACAAAGGTATGAATTGCTCTGCTGCCCGCTGCATCATGAGTAACTCTTAGTATACTCTTCTTCCTTGCAATATTCCCATGTGCATCATAACTCCCCGATACACACTGAGACATGAATTAGTCACATTTAAAGTAATATGATTTCTATATATTTTGCTTTTTAGGACACATCATATTTGTTTATTACTGGACCTGATGTTGTGAAGGTAAATATTGTATTTTTTTTGTCGTAAATTGCAAAAAAATAACAACTTTAGATCTTTTTCCCAATTTCCAATCTATATTGACTCTTCTGTCAGTAAATAAAAAAAACTCTTTGCAGGCTTACCGCTGGTTCACTGTAAACCAGGCCAGTGTAAAATCACTCATCCAAAGTAAGAGCATGCAGGTTTGGGTTTTAAACTTTTGGGCTTTTGGTTGAGTGAGACACATATAAGGCCTTACGCATCCCATGGCGTGACAAGGACTGATGATGACGACAATGATGTTGATGATGATGATGATGATGATGATGATGATGATGATGATGATGATGATGATAATGAGATACTACATGTATTCAAACTTGAAGATAACGTTCTTTAACAAGGTCTTTTCTCATTAACCCTTTCTGAATGTTGCATTGGAGAGCCAGCTCGAAATTGGTCTGTTTATGCCAAACCACTGGACACTTTCTTTGGTTACATGGCTTTGTGGAAGAACACATTAATTAAATTAATTTTATGACTCATTCTTTTATGATTTAGACTGTCACTCAAGAAGATGTTACTCAAGAAGACCTTGGAGGAGCTAAAACTCACACTTCTGTCTCAGGTAAGAATCAGAGGCTCAGTCATGTATTTGCATGAAATATATAATAATAAAAGCTTTATTTAAAACTGAAAGACCGATCAGCGAAGTCCAGGAGGAAGATGCTGGTATTAACCAATGATCAGTATGTGGTAGGGCTTTTAGAAATAACAGACTCCCGACTTAGGCCCAGTTCAGACGTCGTGCTTTTTACTTAGCAGACTACATGTGATTAATTTAGTTTAACCATGTTCAGCTGGGCAGAGAACATGCTTGCTAATTTGACAAGTTTGTTCATGACACTTGGTGCCACAGGGTAAAGGTAAAGTCTGCATATGAGCCAAGTGACCCATCAGGCCAGTGCTTATCTCCGGTTTCTGTTGCATGAAGCAACCAGGAGTATTTCTACTCCCCTTGGATGGGATGCTTGTCCATCGCAAGGTTACCCCCAGCATTAAATTCACCAGTACCTATTTATACACCTGGGTGGAGAGAAGCACTGTGAGAGTAAAGTGTCTTGACCAAGAACACACCACAGTGTCCCCAGCCAGGGCTTGAACCCAGACCGCTCAATCCAGAGACGAGCACACTAACCATGAGAACACAACTTGGCTTTCACTTTGTGGTTAGAATTGCAAATAGTTGAAATCTTTGTCATAGACTAAATTTAGTCATAATATTTATACAGGAGTCGCTGTTGGAGCCTTTGAAAATGATGTTGAGGCTTTGGCCACGTAAGTATTTATTGGACAAATTATTTGATATTATTTGACTGCAATACCTTTCCTTTTTGCCATGAAATGTCAAGTAGTACATGACTTTGTATGTAGTGAAATTTCCAGCCACTGCAAGATTGCTAGCGTCTGTAGTCTACAGAGCTGTAATCTTCTTACTTATTCATTGAAAGTGATGGCTTTCTTATCAACTTTTAGGATTTCACAGTAATTTTTCAGATGTTATATTCTTTTAGGATGAGAGAATTCTTTGACTTCCTCCCCCTGAGTAACAAGAACCCATCTCCAATCCGAGAATCTGATGATCCATGGTGAGCATGAATTTGGCATGTTGCTTTGAAATTAGATGATCGTGAGGAGTTAAAATAACAACTGCAAGTGCAACCAATTATGTAATTGAAAACAAAGTTACCATGTATTAGTCCCAAGGGGGCTCCTCAGGGGGCTACTCCTCAGGGGGTGATGACAGTGAGTTCCTTACACACTGGATCAAGTCAAACAGCACATTTTAAATTTAAGTTTTAAATTACTGTTTTTTGTTTTAAGTGATGACTAATTTCTACCATGTTTAAATGAAGAACATTATGCTACTATATACTAACAAATACCTGCATGTAGTACACAGTTCTTTCAACACGAGGGAGAAAAAGCATTATTTATTGCAATGCAATTTTATGCTAATTTAGACATGTGACATTCCAGACTTGTATATTCATCAGATGGAGTTTCCACTCCAACTGGATAGTGACTGTTGTGGTGTACTTGATAAATGTTATATTTGTTTTGTTTTCTTTAGTGATAGAACAATTCCCAACTTGGATACTCTAGTTCCCTTTGACTCAACCAAGGCTTACGACATATTGGATGTAATATATCCAGTAAGTAATAAAGACTGCATGGCAGCTCAGCATAGTAAATCTTCTTACTGGCTGCAATGCCTTTCCTTTGACTTTCAAGTTCTGAGAATTTTGTTGATAGGGTGAACTTAGAATGTTCATCACGTGCAGTTCAATGCGATCAAGTAAGGCTGTGTGTTGTGAAGTGTATATGAAATAATTCATATTTGAACTGCGGTTGTAGATGAAAGTGAAGAATGATCATCGCAGTAAATTTTCCAATTTAAGCAATTGG